CCAGCCTGGTCTACAAGAGCTAGTTCCAGGACAGCCTCCAAAGCAATACAGAGAAACCCTGTCTTGGGGAAAAATAAATAAATACATAAATACATAAATAAGTTAGCCTGAGCTACATAGAGAGACTGCAGAAAAAAAAAACAAACTAACTAACAAACACACAAAAAAAACCCCATGAGCCAGGAGTGGTGGCACACACCGTTATTCCAGCACTCAGGAGGCAGAGGCAGGTGCATCTCTGTGAGTTTGAGGCCAGCCTAATCTGCAAAGTAACTTCCAGGAGAGCCAGGACTGTTACACAGAGAAACCCTGTCTCCAGAAAAAACAAAAATAAATAAAATAAAAATCATTACATATTATGTTTTCGTTGCTGCTGGTTTTTGCTTTGGGTTCTTTCTTTTCTTTTTGAGACAGAATCTCCTATATCCCAGGCTGGCTTTGAAGTCCTGAGTCTTGTGTCACCATGGCCCTGCTTAACTGTTTGGTTTTGTTATGCGCATTGGTGGTCTCACTTCATGAATATCTGGGAACTGGAGGTACTGAAAGTTGTGAGCTGCCATGTGGGTATTGGGAATTGACCCTGGGCCCCTGGAAGAGCAGTCAGAACTCTTAAACACTTGCTGAGCCATCTCTCCATCCCCCAAGTTTAACAGTACTTTTAAAGTTAACATGAAGGACTCTGGGCTGAATCCTAACCAACAATACAGACAAATGGAGCTCATCCTCCCAGTGAACCCTCTCAAGGGCTTTCTCACACAAATAAGCCAATGTTGCATTCCTTGCTTTGCAATGGGTATGCATGCCAGGTGGCTATCTGGTTATGTAGCATCTGTTTGTGCTATAGCTAAAACATGAAGGCCAACCACCACTTCCCCAACCTGGCTGTGACTACTTGCTGCCCAAATTATGATCCTTTAATGGAAGGACACTTGTCAGATCCATATAAGCAGGTCAAAATTTAAACATTTTCCTCCTCTAGAGGAATAACCAATGGCTCCAAATGGGAACACCCCACACCTAAGGCCTCAGACTTAAAACATTAGAACATGGAGCCAAGTTGGAGTTTTAGTTACATAAAAGAAGGAATCTTTCCCTTCTCTCTCACTACTGTGACCCAGCATCTTGTCCTATAGATGGAGAGAGGTAGATCTCAAGCAACCAATCCCCCCCTGGTAAAATCGGTGTTATACACAGCAAGCATAAAACATGCTTATCTTTTCAAGAATGAAATCCTTTTGTCTGCTTTACGTTCTGTTTGGCGTCTTTGTCTGAGGGTCAACTGTGGAATGACAGAGTAAGACTACAACACACCCATTCTGCATATTATTTTTCTCCCTTGGCAACGTCAGGCCAGGAACAGTAGGTTGCCTTTGCAGAATGTCTGCCGTGTCTAGAAATAACAGAGAAGAAGCAAACACACGCAGGGAGGACAAAACTACAGCATTTAAAACGCGTAACTTCAGGTCTGACTGAAGTGGCCCTCACAGTCCATATTCTTCCTTTTAAAAAGCTCACCCCAAGTTAAGGGAGCCTGCCCTGAGTGTGGTCTCACCACATCGTACCTGTCTCAATGCTTTTTCCCTTTGTTGCCTCATCCTGCCATTACCTGTTATCTAGTGGGTTTGGCTAATCTGAAATGTATGTCCTCAATACTTGGGAATACCAACAACTACACAGTAAGGAATTAGGAAACTATAGTGGTTTAGTACATTATATCTGAATATAATCTTCAGTGTATTCCTATTATTGAAGAATCAAAGTTCATTTTTCTGAGCTCTATTATCTAAGATCCAACTTAAAGACTGTCTCTGTCTTCTATATCCTTCCTTCTGCAACCTGTTTCCTGACCATTTCACTATTCATTAATCTCTCCCTCCACAAGAGGGATGGGCAGCACACACACACACACACACACACACACACACACACACACACAGAGAGAGAGAGAGAGAGAGAGAGAAAGAGAGATATTTTAATAGAATCAATTTTGTTATTACTGTCTGATAAACCTATATGCAAAAAGTGTCAATGTGACTGAAATGACATAGAATTCTGAAAAAAATAATTTTTGATTGTCCATGATCTAGCAATTACTTCCATGAAAAACTGAATTAGTTCTCTATATCTTAAATTTTATGGAGGTTTATTTAAATGATCAAGAGAATAATTTGTTTTATAATTCTAAGAATAATCACACCAAATCCATGAACTAAATGTCTATAAGATGCTATCAACTAAAAAGAATTCCCAAAGAATCAAAAGCTAAAAATGAAGCACCAGGTACATTTTAAAATGGAGACTATAAAATAGGTAATTATTTTCGCCTTATAGTTTTAAACCTCTTTATATACACAATGATGGAAAGGTCACGTATAGAAGAGTATATGTGACAGAAATGTCTATGAGTATTTTCAAAAGTAACCACTGAACTCTAATCTAACCACTGAACTTCATAATCAATGATGTAATAGTCAGGAGGAGAACAAAGAGGATTGCACAGCGACGGATGGACTTCCCAGTTCAGTTTGCTCTTAAAAGAGGTGACATTAGACAAACACTGTTAGTTTCAGAAACTGAACAAGATGAAAAATTACTGCATTATGGAGAATATTTTATCAATAATTGTGCCATAAGGTATATTTTATTCAGCTGATCAACTTCACAGAACTAAAGCCTCAGAACTACCAGGTGAGATAATACATTTATACCTGCAATATCCCATTCCATAAATAATCTATACTATCAGAAGCCACGCTGCATTCAGACTCTACAAAGAGAGAAATGAAAGTGTTCTAGTGGCTTCCGAGCATGCCATAAACAAAATACAGGCATTGGGTATGATTATTGTGAAGTTCAAGGAAAGAGATAAACAGATTCTAGGAAATACTATTTCTACTATTTCACACATTCTTTTACTCCACACTGCTAAAGGCTTAGTGAAAAGGTCATTTATGTATCTCAAAGTAAATAAAGACACTTAGCAACTCCTGACATTGTCACTCTCTCAAGACACAACCTATTAATCACATAGTCCAGATGCTGTGTCAGTTGTTTTATTTCATATGGCAAATAATATGTTTCAAGGTATAATTACTGATTCCTCCCACTTTCTTTCTGAACTGAGGACATCCCTACTATCTTCACAAACGAGTTAAATGTTTACAGGGAACAGTAAAACTGATGTCATATTGTGACATATTTTTGTTCCTAGCAGGCTTTGGGCCTAAATCCCATATTCTCTAATCAGATAACTGTTGGGGAAGTCCTGTTATATGTCAATAAAGCACTGTTGGGCCAATAGGGAACAAAGATAGGTGGGACTAGGAGTCCAGGAGGACTCTGGGAAGGAGAAACACAAGAGAGTCAAGATGTAACGCCATGGGGTAGGAAGCCTGGAACTATTCTCTGGTAAGAGAAATACTTAGATTAACAATTATGGGGTAATTACTTAAGTCAGAGCTAGCCAGTAAGAAACAAGCAAGGCCAACAGCTTCATAATTAATATAGCCTCATGTGTGTTTATTTGGGACTGATGCGCCTCTAGAACCAGGCTGGCGGGAAGGCTTCTCTCAAGGAAAAAGCTTCCCTTTACAGATAACTCTCAAGAGCAAAGATGTAACCCGTCCTTACATGTATGCACATCAATATTTTTAAGATAAAAGTAGGTGTGCAATATTCTTAAAAAATTATCTTAGTTCCAAAAATATTTGCTTATTTTTTTAAACAAGGCCATTACAAATTCAATTCAAGGAGCAGCTCAAAATAAAACAGACACGACAAGTTCCTAGAACATCCTCAAGACAAACTCAGAAAGGTATTTCAGAATTCCCTGATTCAAAATGAAATTACAATGTCCAAGGAACTAATAATACTCAAATGTTTTGTTATGCCAAAAGGGAACTAACCAGCATGGTTTTGTTATGCCGAAAGTAACTAACCAGCATGGTTTTGTAAAATAAGGAAAATATAAGTATCAAACGCTAGTGAGGAGAGGGAGGGTAAATGACAGCTTATTATTAAAGAATCTGATAGAGATCAGATCATATCAAACACAACTGCCAACTGCATGCTCGTCCATTACGTCCCCTGAATTGGATGTGATGACATCTGCTCTCGCCACGGTGCACAGTCCACGGAAAACGCTGAAATAATATAGCTGAGCAAACTGAACTTTCTTTATGAAAATTAAAGGATAACAGATAAAGTCTTGCCCCACCTTTTTTCTTCCTTTTTTCTTTTAGTAAAACTGACAAATTGTTGAGGAACACTACAGCGCCACCAACACAGATCAAGGCAGAACAAAAAAAAAAAAAAAAAAACCTCCCACCGTGTGCAAAAAGAAGAAAACTAGAAAAATACCAAAAATTACAAAATGTCTCTCCCATATGTACCTTTCCGGAGAAAACGTAAGATAGGTCTACAGAGATGAATTGACAAAGAGCTGTAAAGAAATCACATCCCAGACCACAAGTTAGATCCGCTCAGCAATAAAAGAGCCACTAGTTAGCAACAGCCATAACTTAAACCCGGTTATGTCCATCTCCACCTTCATTATACCAGAGCTGCTTTCTGTAGTTTGTATTCAAGTACTCCATCAAGGGAATCACAATAGGTTCGCTTGTTGATAATTTACTCTGGACAACTGCGGCAATAGATAATTTTTATAAAGAGGATATGTACATACTTGGCACTACCAACATTGCTGGCACACAAAAAATGTCCATCTTGAAACAGCTGAGTTCCCCTGTAGTTCACAGCAATTAAAGTACAATTTTCATTATATATGTTTATCTTTAACAATCCAGAGGGGGAAAAAACTGCTTCCCCCTCCCCCCTTTTGGTAAAAATTAACCAGACAAAATTACGTGGAAAATCTACAGATCGAAGCTAAAGAAAAATACAAAGATTGGTTTTGCGAGAAGAAACACAATGAAAATCTCTCTTATCTGGTGCTCCCTTCAAAGATGTAATGCCAAGAATGTTTAAAATTATAAACTTACCATCAGTGTAGGCAAAGCAGCAACCAGTCCTCAAAAAAAAAAAAAAAAAAAAAAAAACTTGTAACAATATAGGCTGGGGACTGGGTTGTACAGAAAAACAGCCTCCGGGCAGCGTACGCATCTTCAAACATACTGAAAATATTTGGTAAATCAAAAGTGAGACTTTCAGCTGGGCGGTGGTGGCGCACGCCTTTAATCCCAGCACTCGGGAGGCAGAGGCAGGCGGATCTCTGTGAGTTCGAGGCCAGGCTGGACCGACAGCCCCCAAAACAATCAGGAGAAACCCTGTCTCGTAAAACAAAACAAAACAAAACAAAAAAAAAGTGAGACTTTCCTCCACGGAGGGCGGTGGAGCGGGGCGGGCAGCCGCAGGATCCGAGGGCGTTCGGGGGAATGGAGCAAGCTGGAGGATGCTGAGCAAGCGGCGGCGAGAGGCTGGGGTTAGCAACTTTGCTCTGGCGGGCGGCGGGCTCCACCTCCCGAAGCTCGGAAAGAATGCACGACTGTGCCTTTTTACACCGCTCGAGAGAGCGCCGCCGCCCGGGGCGATCGGGATTAAGTGACAAGCACAACAATGGCAGCGGCCGCGTCCTCCGAGCATCTGGGCACGCGCTTGCGCGTGGGGGACTCCACGCGAGACGGCGTCCGGCATCCGGCGTCGGTGGGGAATGTGGATGTGGACGCGGCCATTTGGAAGAGAAGTCCATGCAAGTGTGCTCTGTGTGCCGTCCCCCAGGGCCTCCCGTAGCCACGAGCACCACCGTCCTGCATTAAGTAGCCGAATCCTGACTTAAGTTGAAACCATATTCAGCTTCCCCCGCTTCCCCGTTCAACACGGCTTCCAAACCCCTTCCTGGCCGGCCCAGTTCTACTGCTCCGCCTTACAAGCAAAACGTCTGAGGTGTCCAGTTTTTTGGATCCTTCCACCCGGCCTCCAGGAAGTGGTAAAAACGCAAAATAAATATAGCACTAAAGTACCCGCTTGAGTCTGAACTCCGGACCACCCTTTGGTGCTGGTGCTAGCGGGATGCCCAGAAAATGCACTTCTTTTTTGTTTTTGTTTTGAAAAGAATACCAATCATTAGGCATTTACTTGACTGTAATTTGAACTTCCTACTTTACATATTTGTAAGATCTTTCACCTATCTTGGCAGGCTTTCAAATTGAGTGGGCTGGGAAACTTGATTCTCTCTAGTTGTGAGCTGAGTAGGGTTGTTGCAAACAGGCTTTTCTAATCAAGACAGCCATAAAAATGTTAGAGGAGGCCGGGAGGTGGCGTCGCACGCCTTTAATCCCAGCATTCGGGAGGCACAGGCAGGCGGATCTCTGTGAGTTCGAGGCTAGGCTGGACGGACAGCCTCCAAAATAATACCCTGACTGGTAACCCCCCCCCAAAAAAGAGGAATCCAACACTTGTAATTGCAAATATAAAGTCCCCAAAGTCAGCTATTATCAAAGTGTTTCTAATACTTATATGGTCGAACTGAACGCGTTTACTGTACAAGTCCTTGCCAGCTAAATTTCTAATGAGCCAAAGATGAAAGAAGAAAACACTGAAGGATGAAAAAAGGAGGGAGAATTGCCCACATTCTTCAAGACCACCCCCACTTCTGCAGAGGTCTGGTATGCTTGGCTAGCATTTAGTAGGTAACCACTTAAAAACCTGTAGCTTGGGTTACTGTATCACTCATTGTCTACAACAAGACTCTGAGAATAAGAGAACAAATGCTATTAATTACAGGACAATTAGAATAAACAGGGCCTGCCTCCAGAAAACCAGAAGGTTGACAAAACTAGAATTTTGTCAGGCAGGTAGTGATCCACAGGTCTGGGGCTCATTTAGATAAGAGTCTGAGCTAGGCTCCCTTTTCTGGCTCTGTATTTTGCTGCTGATCTATAATCAACTGAAGCAGTTGGAGGTCCCACCAAGATGCAGAGAGACTTGGAAAGACTGGGAAAAATCAGCCAGAAAGAAGACTCAGAAGAGGAGAGACTCGAGAAAGAAAAGAATTAAAAACAGGTACCTCAACTTCTAACAGTGAAACTGAATGGTCAAATCCCCAGGCTTTTGCTTGAGAGAACACCTTCTAAGGAGAAGGTGTATTAAATTAACCTCCAGTCTTTCGCCTGATCCATTGAGGTCAGGAAAGTAAAGGGGAACTGAGAGATCACCCTCAAAGGCTGGCCAGCAAGTAAGGCTATGAGGGTGTATTGGAAAGGGGTACCAAGTTAGGGGTACCAGGTTAAATCTCCAGGCCTTTGCCTGCAAGGTCTGGGAAGAAAGGGGAACCTGAGAGATCGCCCTCAGTTGGAGGGTGGATTGAGTAAATCTTAAGGCTTTTGCCTGAGGGATCATCCACAGTTGGAGGATGGATTGAAAATAGGTAAATTGAAAATTGGTAACAGTTAGTAAACGAGGTACTGCCATTAAGTGGAAGAAAAGAAAAAGGTAAAAGTATACGGAAAGTCTAGATACAGTGTGCTATTGTGTTAAACTGTTTAATTGCTAAGAAATAACACTACTAAAAGACATTTGATTATCAATGCTGCTGAAATAATCCAATTTACAAATTTTGAAAATGCTTTGACTTCTAAATTTAAATATAAGGACAGGTTACTTGGGGGGGAAAATTCTGCTTTCGTTTCCACAGAAAATAAAAAGCTGTGGGTTCCTTCCAGACTAGTATGGTTTGATGAAGTAAGACCATCCCCCCAAGCAGTGGACCAGGTGTTCCAACAATTAAGACATCTGAGATGATGCAGCCTTACAGACCACGAAAATAAGGACATACAGGTTTCTGAGTTTTGTCATGATCCCCATGGTATTTCAGTGCCCCTTAACAACAGGAAGTAGTTTGGAAAGAATGACGCCCACATTCCCAAATATTGTTTATAAATGTCTATTTGCATTTATACAGGGTTGGTTATTGCTACAAATTTAAGATCAATTTTGTGAGTCATCTCTAAAAACTTTTTACAACGAGTAGGCATGGCTGTAGTCCCTGAGAGCCAAAGAAATCTGTATGGAAGATTCTACAGAGTAACAAACAGTTCAAACAAAATTTCAAAAAATAAAACAGGGGGAGATATTGGGGCCTAGCCCCCACAGGGTCTCTGAGTTGTTTGTCAGCTGACAGTCACAGGTACATCCTGTTTTCTAGTCCTGGCTTACTGCCCCCGCATTGCCCCGCCGACATCAACATCTAGCACAAGGAAAACACGCTCTCTTCCACCTGGGTTTTTTCTACTGTGTTGTAAGACTATATATAAGACTGATCCCTCCTACAAGAGAGAGACCTCTTAGCACTTGCAAAATGTACCTCAGAGTTGCTTGTGGCGCAGGCGCCGCAAAGAGTCACAAGAGTATTGGCAGCCCAGCACCTCCAGCTTCTAGGCAGCCTGCTAGGAACTTTCTCAGCCTCTACCTCCTGACAAATCACTCGTCTGTCTGTCTAAATCCTATTGGCTCTGCCTCTGTGGAAACCCTACTACAGATTTGGTACTGGGAGTGGGGTTGCTGCTCTAAATATGCATCAGTGCTGAAACACTTCTGGAACTGGGTAATGGGCAGGGGCTGTCAGGGGCTGGAGACACTGGTTAGAAAATGCTTCAGCTGCTGGGAACCAAGCAAGCACCAAGAACAATTCTACTGGGAGCTTAGAAGACAAGAACACATCTGACACGGATCCTTTGACTCTGGACATCTCAGCTCTAGAGCTAAATGAAAGAAACCTCTGTTCTTTGTAAATAACCCTGCCTCTAGTGTTCTGTTACAACATAAGCAACAAGACACCACCTTCCTTCATTTTCAGTCCCTTTGTGAGGAACAAAGCCAGGAGGCTATGCCTACTGACTGTCACTCCATAAACTTTCAAGCCCTGATGTGACTCCCAGACCTCAGCTCTCAACGATCTTCCTGGGCTCATTTGGACATGAGAGTGTCTTGCCTCCAAGACAGGTCCACCAAAACAGTAATCATTTAGCACGGTAGCCACCAACTGTCATCTTTGTCCGTACAGCCTTCCTCCTCCCCATCTAAGTCCCGCAAGGCACTTAATGTGCTGAGCACAATGTACCAGGTCTTGGTCTAATCACTTAAGCTTTGTTACATCAGATATACATGGCACCTGAAACTCCAGGCTCTTCTACTCTGAACTCAGCACTAGCTTGACTACTTAAGTACTGGGCCCTTTGCCTTAACCAGAAAATTTTCAAAAGTTTTAACAAACCATATTCCTCACCACCTCCAACATCCACTAATCCCAGTATAAAAGAAGTCATGCAGCCCACAAGTTAAGTGTTTTACATTTTTAAATGTTTGAAAAGTAGTCAGAATGGTACTGGGGCACAAGAGACGCATATATAATTTGGGCTAGAGAGTTGGCTCAGTCATTAAGAGTACTGTTGTTGTTGCAATGGACACAAGTTCGATTCCCAGCACCACACAGAGGCTCATCATCTCCTCCAGCACCAAACAAGAATGTGGTGCAAAGACATACTGGCAGGCAAACAAAAATACACACAAAATAGTAAAAATAACTTTTAAAAAGATTTCTAAAGGGCAAAGTATATATAATTCAAACTGAAGCATACATAAATAAGTTTCCCAGAATACAATACCCCCCCCCTTTCCATGTTGTCTGTAACTGCTTGTCCCCAGCACACTAGAGTGGAGCACGGACACAGAGACCACAGACCCAATGAAGAGTAACTACTGTCTCTACATCTGCTGACTCCTGCCACGGCAGGGTCTATAATGTCTTCAAAAGTAATGTGGCAGTCCACATTACACGGTGTACTTCCCGGTGTTGCCTTGATATCCGGGAGTAAAGAAAGCCAAACAAGAGATTGGCAATTGTCAGAACTGCTATCGTGACAACTGTCAACATCTTCCACACTTCCAGGTTTAATGGTGACTGCTATTCAGTTATACATTAAGATTTACTTTACACATTAAAACTTAAGATGTGCCACGTGGTTGTGGCAAATGCCTTTAATCCCAGCATTCAGAGGGCAGACACAGGCAGGCCTCTGTGAGTTTGAGGCCAGCCTGGTCAACATAGTGAGTTCCAGGATGGCCAGGGCTACACAGAGAAACCCTGTCTTAAAAAACAAAAATAGGCCAGGTGGTGGTGGCGCACGTCTTTAATCCCAGCACTTGAGAGGCAGAGGCAGGCAGATCTCTGTGAGTTCGAGACCAGCCTGGTCTACAAGAGCTAGTTCCAGGACAGGCTCCAAAGCCACAGAGAAACCCTGTCTCAAAAAACAAAACTAAAAAATAAGCAAAAACAAAATAAAAAAAGAAAGTAAAAACAAAAACATCTTAAGATGCATTTAAATTTTATTAGTAGCTATTAGGATGATTTTAATGAAAAAAACAAAAAACAGGAAAGAGTGTTAGAAAGGATGTGAGAAAACTGGACTGCTGTTGCAGGGAATGTCTGATGGAACAGCACTGAAGAAAATCATGGCAATTTCTTGGGGAAAAACTAGCAAACAAACATAGAATTAACATGGGCGCATACACCTAAAGAACTAAAGCAGGGATCCAAAAGCTATTTGTTCACGGCAGCACTGTTCATGATGGTCATCGACAGAGCACCATTAAGTCAGACTATGGATGAATGGACCGATGGATGAAAAGATGAGCGAACCTTGAGGACATTGCTATGCAAAGTGAAACCAGCTGTACTCAAAAATAAATACCACTTGATCCCATTTATATGAGGTCCCTAGGTAGTCAAATCTCAGTAACAGAGATAACAGACAATCATGGCTACTTGGGCAAATTTGAAGGAGAAAATACAGTTGTGTTTAACTGATACAGAGTTTCAGTTGGGGAAGATAATGTCTGGAGATAGTCAATGGTTATAATATAAACTGTATGCTTTCAAACTGTTAGATCATTAGATTTTGTA